AGAACGGTAATTGCTAGGGATGGGGAATGAGGTCATGGGGAGTTTAGTGGGTACAGAGTTTCAGTTTTTGCAAAATAAAAAGTTCGGGAGAACAATGGTGATATGGTTGTACAATATGAATGTATATAATACTACTGACCTGTACACTTGAAAATGATTAAGATAGTAAGTTGCATGTTATATGTATGCTACCACAATAAATAATTGGAAAAAAATGGGAAAGGTAGAAACACTAAACCAAAGGGAAAATGTGCATGTTATAATAGCAGTGCACACTGATATGAATGTACAGGAGGCACAGAGATCATATCTAGATGTTTCATACAGAAGACCATCATGGAGGGCATGGAAATTGAGAGAGAGCTGAAAGAAAGTGGAAATGAGTTCTGGATATCTCACAAATAGGACTTTGGATCACCAAAGACGGTGCAATGTTTTGAAGAGTCATGAAGTGGAACGGAATTAAAATGTAAAAGGTTGATTTGGTATTAAAAGAAAGACTGGCCACAGTAGCATTTGTACTTAACCATGTAAAGCCTATAGTATACAATGGAGAAATGGAGGTCATAGGAAGGAACTTTAAGAAAAGATTAGATAGGGTCAGACTTGATTTGGGAAAAGTTGGTACAATGAGGAAAATGTATACCATGAGGGAATGACCAGAGACTATCCCTAGTAAGCTTCTCATTAATCAAAAAGAGAAATAATAAAAATGAGAAAATATCAGATCTAAGTAGAATCTCTTTTCGGCGATAGACAACATTACCTTTTCTCTCATAACAACTCAAACTTGTCTGAACTTAGACAATGAAAAAATAAAAACTGGAAAAGGGGAAGGAGATTAAGAAGTACAAATGTCCAGTTATAAAATAGGTCACCGGGATGTATGTACAGCATAGGGATTATAGTCAATAATATCGTAATAACTATGTATAGTGACAGATGATGACTATACTTATTGTGGTGAACATTTTATATGGTAAATGTCAAATCACTATGTTGTACACCTGAACCTGATATAATATTGTTTGTCAACTATAATTAAAAATTAACTTTAAAAAACTGGTTGTCTAATGTATTTGATTATCCCTCAGGTTTTTTCTATCTATACTCAGGAAAATTATGACCTATGGCATATCCTAGTACTCTCAGGTCTACTTCATAATCCAGGCAGAGAGACTCTAAGAAAGTCTAGACCTTGAGCTCTATCTGCATTCTGTGTTTTCATAAGAATGTGGAGTTTCCTTCACCTTCTGCCAGAAAAGCTAAAACACAGGAAAGCCCTTCTTCAAAGACTTCATGTGTTTACCATTAGCTATAAATTGAGAAGGAGAACCTTGCTGAATTGGAAGAAAGTTGATACTATTATTTACAGGTATGAATACTGTCAGAAAACAGTTGCTGCCACAGAGTCTAATATGTCTATTTCAGAGGGTCTTCCTCATCTTTTGAAATTATAGTTGTAACAATGCCAAGTTCATCAGGATTCACACCTTTACATTAAACAAAGCATACGAGTTGCTAAGGACAGTTTCCTAAGGAGTCACACTGTTAATGGTATAAGTTTACCATAAACTTATACCATTAAACTTAATGGTATAAGTTTATGGCTTTAAAGGGACAGAGTCAATTCCATCCCCTGTACAGATTCCTTTCCCTTGGGGATATTTCTCTTCCTAACCATTCATGAGACATCCCCAATGCTGAGCTGTGAGTTTATATCTGGTATGGTAATATCTCTCTGCATATGCATTAGGGAGGAACAAAGAGATGGACTTAATGAGCCCATGTTTAAGCCCAGAGGACTCTGAAGGCTAAGCTTAGGGATTCTGGGACATGCCTAGACTTAGGGATGCCCTCACTTCACTATAAATATTTTCTCCATGTGACAAGACAAACTTGGGACCTAGAGGCTTGAAGGGGCTCCAGTCACCATTTTTAAGCACCTAGGCCTATGCTGATAAATTTTTCCAAGTGAGGAATAGGAGAGAAAACATTAGAAAGATAAGGATGCAAGGCAGAGGAGATGAGATGCTACGAAGTAGAGGAGAGGTAAATGAGGATAGAAGGAGACAGTAGAATCTCCTTTGCTTAGGAGTGATCCAAAGCATCATTCTCCATTCTCTTCACAAAAGGATACAACGGAGCACATGGAATTGAAACAGACATAAACAGGTAAGCACAGTGATATTCCATCAAGTAATATGCAGAATTTCTCTATTCTCTCTCTCTCTCTCTCTCTCTCTCTCTCTCTCTCTCTCTCTCTCTCTCTCGCTCTCGCTCTCTCTCTCACACACACACACACACACACACACACACACTCACACACACACACACCACAGCTCACTTAGTATATACTCTTCACAGCTAGAAAGCCACAAATACAGTCTTATAGTAGCTTGACCACATTTGCTATGACTAAAGAATGAAGATTGCTCTGACTAGCAAATTGTTGCCAGGGAACCAGACCCAGGAACTAACTTTGCTGTGTTTCATCTAGAGTACAAGGAGGCTATTGAAGACCACTCTCATATATTTGAGTTTGAAGGTGAATGTATGACTATCAATATCCAAATAAAATGATGTACAAATTATACATTTGGTCTGCACTATTATCTTTTTTTTCTCCCACATAATTCTAGTAAATTTAGAGATTGTCAACTCTCTCTTGGTCCCCTATGTAACTACTACTTTATGGAAACATATTCAAGCCTTTTTTATTGAAAGCCAAATACATCTGCCAGATCAGCCATATCCAGAGCTCTCCTCTAATCATCTGCTTTATGGCCCAGTCAAGAGGGTGCCTGAAAGGCACCCACTGCTATCAATGCAAAAAACATGGTTTACTTTCAAACTGAGCTGCACTGGTTTATGTATGCCTCCACAGAATTCTAGAAATAAGTGTAAATGTGAGGTCCTGTGTTACTCATTCACCTTGGAATATTCTGTGTCATCCCTCCCTCCACTTCTCCTTCATCTCACATATAATCACCATGAGTTATTTATAAATAAGGGCTTTTTACTATCAAGTAAGTAATTTGTGCTAAAGGTGAAATTTTTAGTTATTTTGGGTTAAAAGAAAAATAAGGTTAGGAGAAGGATTAATAATGTAAATAACTACCATTTATTGAGTATACACTATGAGCTAGTCCTTTGCATGCATTGGTCTTATTTGTCCTTAAAATATGTTATATTAGATAGGATTTATTAACCCAATTTACAGAACAGACTGACTTAGAAAATAAAAGATTGTCCAAGGATCTCCAGCTAGTAGATGGCATATCAAGATTTCTGAACATATTTGAATGGTTTCAAAATCCATATAAATTATCTATAATAATCTACTATTAGAGTTAGTAGGAAAAAGAGATAGCAGGTAAAGGAAAATCACATCTTCAATGAATTGAGTGTTGGTGGGCACTAAAGGGGAAAGGTCTCTAAGTATCATCAATTCAATTTTTTAAATGAACTCTGGGACTGGGCTGTTTGTCAACATGCACATCTAGAAAAGGATGAACTTATTACCTTGCCCTCTAGGAATGAACCTTGAACTTATGAGACTCTTCCAAGTAAAGTCCATAGACATCTCCAATTTCTCAGCCTAGCATCCTCCCCTCAACACCGGCAAAAACTATCTTGCTCCTACACATGGACAACTTTCTCTCCAGAAGTTTTGGGAGCAAGATATGCTTTTTTCTTCTCTTATAGAACAGAGGTTTATTAACTCCCTTGCCTGGGTATTTCTACTGTGCAATAACTACCTGGCAGTTATATGCAACTACGTACATAATAAAACATTCTCTCTCAGTCCCTCTCTCCCTCTCTCTCTCTCACACACACACATACACACCACATGCACACACACACACACACACAAATTTACACACACACTCACATATACAAAAAGATGAACACACACTTAAACTAATCCTGAGTCTATTCAACAAGTAAATTCTGTGGTAGTGGGAACCATATCCTCATATTGACCTGTGAGGGTTATTAAAATGGGCATCTGGTTCTTTGCCTCAGTAGCAAAGTTCCTGTTAGTAGAGAAGAGGTCAATACATAAATGACGTTATGTTCTGTTAAATGCTGCACTGTTGTACAATATCCTAGGGACACAAAAAATATTAAAAGATGCTAATTTTTTTTATTACTTTCAGGGATTAGGGAAGATTCATTTACAAGTTTAGATTCAGCTTTACTTAAATTTGCTAGGTGTTGGATCTATTCATATCCTAAGGTAGGCACATTTTCAGAACATAGGTGTGATTTCGTATGTTAGTTATTGGTATTATAGGTTATAAGAAAGAGGAACATAATTCAGCTGAAAAGCCAAGGTCAATTTACTGGAAGAATATCAGGGAATCGCTGAACAAAGAAGAGTCTGGAGGTATGGGATGAGAAACCAAGCCATTCCATAAAATTAGTAGGCATCAAAAATAGCAGTGGTCTCATAACAGAAAGAGAATGAGAAAAATTCTAAGAGAGACCATCTACTTAACTTCCCTTATGTCATATGACTGTATCAGATTCATAAGACAAATCCCTACATTTATGCTATATCAAAACATAGACAATGATATGTCAGCTGTTCTCATTTGAATTTAGGATTCTTTAACACTTGACTGCACTTGGAGAACCACTGGGTATAGTAATTTCCCCAAAGCAAGGGGCTACATGGAAAGGAATGAAAGGGAATACCATAAAATGTAAGTATATACCACGTTTTGAAATATCAGTTCTTTCAAAGATCTACAAAAAATAAATTCATGGACAATGTTGCCTATGATGAATCTCAGAACAATATTGTATATTGAGAGAGTTGCTCAATTACCCTCTGGAAAGAGGACAAACTCTAATGTTTGTAAATTAACTGCTTCTGCCATTACCTCCACAGTACAGATTAGAAGTCTTTCCGTCTTTCCAGGACATTGATAAGAAAAGATCTTAAAGAAAGTGAGACCCTCCTCCTTAACAGGAACTCGATGATACTTGCTAAGAGAATGCCTTCTATCAATGACACCCAGTTCCATCCCCCCTTCTTTCTCCTACTAGGAATACCAGGAATGGAAACTATACATGTCTGGATTGCTTTCCCATTCTGTATTGTGTACCTGATTGCCCTTGTGGGGAACATCACCATTCTCTTTGTGATTAAAACTGAACAGAGTCTCCACCAGCCCATGTTCTACTTCCTGGCCATGTTGTCTATGATTGATCTGGGTCTGTCCACATCCACCATCCCCAAAATGCTGGGCATCTTCTGGTTCAACCTGCACGAAATCAGCTTTAGCAGCTGCCTTGCTCAGATGTTCTTTATCCACATGTTTACAGGCATGGACACTGTTTTACTGGTGGTCATGGCTTATGACCGCTTTGTTGCCATCTGCAACCCTCTCCAGTACACTGTGATCCTCACCAACAAAACTATCGGCATTCTAGCCTCTGTTATTGTTGGAAGAAATTTGATCCTTGTGACTCCATTTGTGTTTCTCATTCTGAGGCTGCCCTTCTGTGGACATCACATCATCCCTCACACATACTGTGAGCACATGGGTCTTGCCAGGTTGGCCTGTGCACCCATCAAGGTCAACATTATCTATGGGCTCATGGTGATTTCTAATATCATTGTAGATGTCATCCTGATCACCTCTTCCTATGTGCTTATCCTTCAGGCTGTATTCCGCCTTCCTTCTCAGGAAGCTCGACTAAAAGCTCTCAGTACCTGTGGTTCTCATGTCTGTGTCATGCTATGCTTTTACACACCAGCATTTTTTTCTTTTATGACACACCGCTTTGGTCGGAATATTCCCCACTATATCCACATTCTTTTGGCTAATCTATATGTGGTAGTTCCACCTGCCCTTAATCCGTTCATCTATGGAGTCAGGACCAAGCAAATCCGAGAGAGGGTTTTAAAGATATTTGTACAGAAATAATAGATCTTTGTAAAGATAGAGATAATGTATTCACATACTACCCAAATTTAATCTGAGCTCTCTTTAAAATTTTTTATTGTATTAGATACTAGTGGCCAGATTTTTCATTTTTATTGGAAGTGGTTTAGGGTGACAGCTAAAGCAAAGCTACCTTTGCTACTCATTCTGCCCACCCACCCACATGTAACTGGACAAAGGGGAAAGACTAATGGAAAGAAATATATCCTAGTGACAGCAGTGTTTTGGGAGCAGAATGGTTCATGGAAAAGGGTGTGAACTCTCCCCATTTCTCCATGTCTTCTTTTCAGGTAAGTTTAGATCCTGAAGGAATGCTGATCTAATAATTTCATATTGTAGATGAAGTAAATAAAGTTTAAGCCATGGATTAGTGGCAGTGTAGAACATCTTCTGTTCCATAGATTTGTAATCTTTACATTAACCCTCAAATTTTGTTTTTCTTCTCTAGAATCATTGACTTATTTTTATTTTAATGTTCCTTCAGTCTTGTTTTACTGTCATTCTTGCTCGCTTTTTTTTCTAACTTCTCTTTCTCCTGAGTCAGTGCTAAATAATGCCAGGTGAAGTAGCAGCATTACTTGTATAAATGGGAATGTCCTTCCCACTCTGTTTCACCTATACTGCAAGCTGATGACACTGTGCAGAAGGAAGCAATGAAGTCAGAATTGAAAGAGATCACCTTCTAGAAACGCAATGATTAGGACCTGAATACTTCAGTCAAAATATGTGTTTTTCATTATTAATATTTAAAATTTTTTAAGTTTTTAATTGTTTATTGGGATGACATTGGTCAATAAACTTGTATAGATTTCAAGTGTGTCATTCAATACTACATCATCTGTATATTGCACTGTGTGTTCACCACCCAAAGTCAAATCTCTTTCCTTCACCATGTATTTGACCCTCTTTACCCTTATCTACCTCTCCCCGTTTCCCTCGGGTAACCACTAAACTGTTGTCTGTGTCTATGAGTTTTTGTTTGTGTTGTTCCTTTATTGCTTTCAGTTTTACATCCCACATCGCATGGTTCATGACTTTTTCTGTCTGATTTATTGCACTTAGCATGATAATCTCAAGGCCCATCCATGATGTAGCAAACAGCAGTATTTGATCTTTTCTTATGGCTGAGTAACATTGTATATATGTACCATATCTTTATCTAATAACTTATCAAAGGACACTTTAGTTGTTTCCATGTCTTGACCACTATGAATAAAGCTACAGTAAAAACCAGAGTGCATATACCCTTACACATGTTTTCAAAATTTTAGGGTAGATACTCAGAAGGTGAATTCCTGGCTCATATGGTGATTCTATTCTTGATTTTTTGAGGAACGTCATACTATTTTCCATAGTGGCTGTACCAATTTAAATCCCTACCCGCCGTGTCTAAGGAAGTATATCTTTTCCTCCACAACCTCTTTAACACTTGTTTTTACTATCTTGTTGATAATAGCCATTCTTACAAGTGTGAGGTGGTATCTTATTGTGATTTTAATTTATATTTCCCTAATAGCTAGTGATGTTGAGCATCTTTTTATATGTCTGTTGACCATTTATAAGTCTTCTTGGGTGAAGTATGTGTTCAGGTCCTCTGCCCATTTTTTAATTGGATTATTTGCTTTTTGTTGGTGAGGTGTATGAGTTCTTTCTATATTTTGGATATTAGCCCCTTAATGGAGGTATTATTTGCAAATATCTTCTCCCATTTAGTTGGTTGTTTGTTTTATTGATGGTTTCTTTTGCTGCACAGAAGATTTTTAGTTTAACATGAACAGGAAATAATTATTATACACATTTTCCTGAATAATTTGGTTAAGCCTGGCATTTGTGGTCATCACCAATGAAGTATGGAAAGATCCTTTGAGAGGGTCATTGGGAGCCGTTATTCATGGGCAGCACAATGGTGACTGGATGACACAGCACACTAATGATGCAATCAGCATTAAATAAATAGAATTTGGAAATGCTGGAGGCAAGATGATCTATATGGTCTTGAAAAGCCACGACTTTCTAAGTAATAATAGTGCTAATAATACCTTCTATTGTAGCAGAAATAAAATGTCCAGAAATGGCCTGTTTTGACAATAAAAATAAAAAAAAAACATGAATAGAGAGTTCATGAAACTTAACAGAAATAAGAAAGTGCCTGGACCCCGGAAAGAATCTTTATGTGTAGTAATTAGACAACAATCAAATATATAATTAATTCATTTCTACCCATTATTCTAAATCATAGATAAATTATTATATATTGTATAGTTCCCTGAATTTTGTAACACAGTTTTTAGTCAAATTATCAGTGACTCCACAAAAATGCTTGCCCCAAGCATTATATGCAGCAGTAGGGCAGTTCCTGCATACATTTTTACATTCAGCCTCTGAATGCCCAATTTCTAACTTCCCATTTCACTCTTGTGGTTGTGTCAAATTAATACTGCCCTAAAGCACAGCCCCATTTTTCTATAAATATCTGTATTCTGTTTGAGTATTAATTTGTGTATGAAGCTGTGTGTATGTGTATGTACGTGTGCATGTTTATGTTTGTGTTAAATATGGCATGAATTTACTAGTATCTGATAATATTAAATGCATTTACAAGCAGGCTTAATAGAAAATATATGTGATATGATAAAAAAATACATATATGCAAAAGGAAAAATAATTGAGGAAATGATGACAAGAGAAAAATATGATGATTCTAGCATTAATTATATTCTATTAGATTAAATATTCCGAGATAAGACCATTTTCCACAAACCTCTCTTACTCTCCCAGATATTCTTTCTCTTTTGGAAACTTTTATGTGTTGCAGGATAATTTACAGAGTATAGAAATCAGGCTTCCTCATTTGATATTAGATGTTAATCTGTAACTTTCATTATCTACCAGCACCTTGGGAGCAGAGATACTAAGTCTAACAAAGAAGTAAACATTTATGAAATTGAATCCGGATACAATATCTTCTTGAATCTGTACCAATGGGTTTATCAATCCATAACTCATGATATTTAGTCAGAGTTTTGATATTATCCTGGTCAAAAAAAAAAACTTGTAAAAATTTCAGATGTTTGCAGACCCTTCCATTTTCCAGGTGCCAACTTTAGAGAAAAAGCCCAACAGTTTTCAAAGTGGCTTAATGATTTTATACTGCTACCAACAAAGTACGAGAGTTCTAATTGTTCCATATTTTCACCAACATTTGGTTTTTGGGGTCTTTTTAATTTTAGCTACTCTGGTCAGTGAGAATAGGTAACTGATCATTGTAGTTTTAATTTTCATTTCCCTGTTAACTAATAATGTTGATTGTGCTTTCAGTACTTATTAACTATGTTAAATTCTACTTTCGTGAAATGTGTGTTAGTCTTTTCAAGTAACTACAAAATTAGCTACTTCGAGACATATTTGAGTGTAGTTCAAAAGCCTTTGAGAAATTTGAGTTCAAAGACAAAACCACCTATGGCAAAAGTAAACCATAAGACCAGTAAAATCGTATATTTATAATGTGTATATATACATATTATGTGCATATATATGAACACACATATGTATACATGTTAAGTGCCATATGTTATGTATGGCATATAATTAAATAAAATTAGGTTTAAATGCAGAAATCTGAAAAAAAAGGTAAAGCTGCTTATTGAATATATTAATCAAAGTTTTGGAAAAAATAGTGGCAAACTCAAGTGGGTCCCTTAAACTATGACAAAGTATAGGCACAGTATAGGGAAACCACAAGGGACCATAACAGGGATAACAAATG